CATCCTGAGTGAGGTAACCCAATCACAAAAAGACAAAAATGGTATGTACCCACTCGTATATGGATTTTAGACCTAGAGCAAAGCAGTAGCAGCCCAAATCCATAGAGAAGCTAGGAAACAAGGAAGAACCTAAGAGAGACATACATGGTCCCCTGGACAAGGGGAAAGGGACAAGATCTCCTGATCTAATAAGACACATAGGGGAGGGGCAGGGAGTTAGAAGAAAGAGATGGGGAGAAAAGTAGGGGAGAGGAGGACTGGAGAGAACAGGAAGATGGAGTCAGGGGGAAGAATAGAGGAGAGCAAGAAATAGATATCACAATAAAGAGAGCCCTTATAGGCTCAAAGAGAAATATGGCACTAGGGAAATATCCAGAGATCTACAAGGTTGACCCCAACTAACAATCTAAACAATAGAGGAGGGGTACCTTAAAAGCCCTTCTCCCATAATGAGATTTATGACGAGCTTATATGCCATCCTAGAGCTTTCATCAAGTAGCTTATGGAAGAAGAAGCAGACACCCACAGCTAAAAACTGAGCTGAACTCTGGAATCCAGTTGCAGAGAGGGAGGAGTGATGAGCAAAGGGGTCAAGACCAGGCTGGAGAAACCCACAGAAACAGCTGACCTGAACAAAGGGTTGCTCATGGACCCCAGACTGATATCTGGGAAACCAGCATAGGTCTGTTCCAGAAGCCCTGCTTCCAGATGTCAGTTTGGAGGTCTGGTTAATCTATGGGGCCTCTGGTAGTGGATCAGTATTTATCCCCAGTACACAAATGGACTTTGGGAGCCCAATCCACATAGCGGGATACTCTCCCAGCCTACACACAGGGGGAGGGTCTAGGCTCTGCTCCAAATGATATCAGATGTTGAAGATCTCCATGGAAGGCCTCACTCTCCCTGGGGAGCAGAAAAGGGATGGGATAGGGGGGGGAGGGGGGTTGTCGGGGGGGGGGGAGGGGAGAAGGGGAGGGAGAGAGCTGGGATTGACATGTAAAAGAAGTTTGTTTTGAATTTAAAATAAAGAAAGACAAAAGAAAAAATATTTCCAAAAACCCTGAAAAAATATTAAATTAACCTTCATTCATTCATTCACAAGTCTATTTTGTACCGGGGTAAATTGCTCTTTGTTTTTGTTATAATATTGCTTATGATTTCTTGGTTGAGATAAATCAATCTAGAAACTTCATTTCTCTTTTCTCTTTTTAGGCTAAGGAAAGAGATTGTGAGAAAGAATGATGTAATAAGACTTAACTATCATCTTTTTGTGTAAAATGAATAGAAATATGTTGAGGCTCAGCCTTGGTGTGATATAATAATCTACATGAATCATGCAAGTGATATGGCCAAGAGTAGTAGCAGGACAAGTGGGAGAGTAGTCTGCTAGTGTTAGTCAGGGCTGATCCATTTGGGGGCATTGAATGTAAGATGTGATAAGAAAAGGAGACAAAGTAGATTTTGCATGAATAACTTTCAAAGATGGGAGTATAATCATCTGTGATGGCAGAGAGTATGGGGGAGGTCAGGGCTGCAGTGTAGGGGGAGATCAAGAGCTAAATTTTGTCATGTGACATCTAAGAACTTTTAGAGGACTAAAATTCCTATGAACTGAGAATAGATGCCTTAAGTTCAGAGGAGAAAACCAGCGGATTCATTAAAAAATTATCCTGGATGAGATGACATACATAAAACACAGAATTGTGTGGACTGCGATTTGGACTTCATAAGATTTGGAGATAAAGAAGATGAAGAGGAAACAGAAATGGAGACAGAGAGAGACTCAGGTAAGAATCAAACCCACAGATAACTCTGACCAATTAAGGGAAATGTCTTCTTGGAGGAAACAATCATAAAACCTAATAATCACTTCTTGTTGGTCAAGTAAGGAAGGCCCAAGAATTAGCAATTGATTGTTTTACTAAAAATAATTTTCACAAGAGGAAAATCACTGGAGATTGATTTTTATAGTTTCAAAGGAAAATGGGAAAATAGTGTTAACAATTATTTTAGCCAATTGCTTCCACTTTTTCTTTAAAGTTCAATGGTTGAAATTAGAGCCAAGTGAGCATTTTCAAAAGACACATCTGTTGGAGAGAAATATGTAAAAAATATATATAACTGAAAAACTGGACATTGAAAAAACAAACAATCCAATTTAAAAATGGGATACAGATTTAAACAGAGAATTCTCAAAAAAGAAAACATGAATAGCTGAGAAGCACTTAAAGAAATGTTCAACATCCTTAGCCATCAGGGAAATGCAAATCAAAACTACTTGGAGATTTCATTTCATACCTGTCAGTATGGGATCCCTGAAAGTGTCATGGCCAGCAGTTAAATGATCCATGAAGAGGCAAGAATGAGAACTTGGTTCAGTATGACTGGTTCCAAATTCAGGAATCTGATGCCAAGTGGTTTATCTTTTTATATATTTAAACATGGGATATCTTTAGAGAAAAGTTTTCACATGACAGTTATTATATCAGAGCATTAGGCATTAGGCATAGCTACATCAAAACTTCTTTACAGAATATGTGTCTTTTGCAACACAACTGTGGCTTTTGCCCCAAGAATGAGTTCCATTGACTGAGAAACAGTCCTCAGGACAAGGATCTATGAAGGAGAGCTTTGCAGAATAGCAAACTTTTTTGCAAAGTTCATGGTAGCTCTTTCATGAGGATGGTTTTTATTGACAATGCACTGCAGTCTGGGGGATTCCATTGAGGGTTGGTTCCATGGAGCAGCAAAAAGATGCCCAGGTTATTAAACAATATCCACTCCAGCCTTATAGGTGAACAGGCATCAATTTCTTCCACTGAAGAAGGCATGCATATCTAACAATTGTGGCTTCTCTAGTGTTGTCTGTGAGCACTTATACCTCTTGCCTTTTATATGTCAAAATGGCTAAGACCCTTAAAACAAGAATGGGGACATAAAAGAAAAAGTGAATCTAGGGAGGGACAACTAAAACTAAGGGCCATTTGACAGGTAATATGGAAATCTAACAAAGCAGAAGCTTCCTAATACATACATAATGAAGATGATCTGAAAGGAATCCTCAAAGAACAGGAGAGACTGAACCCAACTGAACATCTCTCATCATCAAATGAAGCCTCCAGTTCTGGAAATTGGTTACATCTAATCAAGTGTTGACCAAGGATGTCCCATGGGAACCCCCAAACAACCCAGGATATTGCAAAGTCTATTGGTTGCTCTCCACAAACTGATGGTAAGCACTATTGCTGAAGATAACACCTACACAACTCATTAAACATGAGTTGAGCTTGGGCCTTACTGGAGCCTTCATCTCTACAGACTAGTGTTCATGGTACTGGAAGATACTTTGCATACTACCTAAGAAGAAAGGTAAACATTATTTCAGCTATAAACTCTTCCGTCTATAAGGATGATCTGCCAGCAAGATGTACTAGTGCAATGGTGACAAAGCTTGTGGGAGTAACCAACAAAAAACTAAATAGACTTAAGGACCACTCGATGAGATATAACCCATCCCCACATTGCATGGGTGACAAAGAACCCAAAACCAGACAGGTCAGAGACCTAAAGGAAAACCAAATACTACTGTTTTGCTAAAGGAACATAGTCATAAGGTAACTCCTAATGACATCTGCTATACTCATAGATCAGTGCCTTGTTCAGTCATCATCAGAGAAGCTTCCTCCTACGGTAGATGGGAACAAATACAGAGACCCACAGCTAAACAATGTGCAGAGTATGAGAGATCTTGGAACACTCAGACCTAAAATGGGGTGACTCCATCAAATCCTTCCATTTGCAGGGAATCTCAAGGAAAAGGAAACAGAAATTTTACAAGTCAGAGGGGATGGAGGCCAACAAGGATGTAAGGCTTTTGACACACAGCAGAAGTAAAACATGTATGAATGCACAGAGACTGTGAGCATGCACAGAGCCAGTACAGGTTTGCATCTGATGGAGCACCAGCACTGAGAGGAGAAGTGGTCACAACTCCCTATCTCTAACAACACTGAGAAGCGGTCACAACTCCCCATCCCTAACCTGGTAGCCATTTCCAAATGATAATTACTTGAAAATGAAATAATTAGTTTTTTCTAAGCACTGTTTCAATGGGGATACAAACCACTATTAAGGGCAGGCCCCAGATCTGGCAGTAGATCACAACACAAGAACTCAATGTCGTTTTTGTAGGTTGTTTCATAATGTTTTGTCAGGGTATTTAAAAAAAGAAAAAGAAAGAAACCTTTCCACTTCTGTGTTTTTATGTGTGTTGGAATATGCATCTGTATGCCTTTTTTGTGCCTTTCTTTGGCTCTTTTTCTTCTGTTTCTTTTGTCCTCTCCTGATTCTTTTGTAATGAAGGAAAAAATAAAGCATATTTGAAAGTCATAGGGATGTTAAGGAAGGGAGTCTCAAGGGGCAGACATTTGTGAAGAAAGCGTGATGTGATTGAAAAAAAATCTCATGCAAAACGAAATGCAATTATGTAAAAGTGTAAGTTACTTTCTGTTTAATATCAGAAAATCAGACCTTGTGAGTAAGGCACCAGATCTTAAGGAATCCTGAGCAAACACGAACTCCTTTCATTTACTTTCCAGTCCATTGGAATCCAGTTGCTAAATGGAGAGCTTGGCTAGCACATAAAGCTCTTGTCGGACATATCAACTAATGTCCCAATTCCCCACTCTTCCTATGAAAACAACAGTGGAACTCCAGGTCCGCAGAGACCTCTAACAGCAGAACGGCGAAGCAAGCCCAAGCTCTTTAAGACGCGGGCTTCCGGGACACCTCCATCTCCCGCCCGGGATTCCCTCCAGCGCGCGCTTCCGGCGGCGTGGGTGGGGCTTGCCGGCGACGTCACTGCCGTGCGCCAACGCGCTGAGTGGCGCGGGATTCAAACGGAGGGCCAGCCTTCGGGTCTGGAGCGGGAAGCGGCGGTGTCGTCCGGAGTGAGGCTTCCTCCTCGGCCCCCAGTGCTGGGAGCTGTCCGGCGACCGCGGGAGCCCGGAGATGGCGGTCTCCACCGTAGTCTCGAGGCGCGTCAAGCGCAAGGCGCCGCGCGCCTTCCTCAGGCGCACCTTCAAGCAGAAGAAGCCGCACCTCCGCCTGGAGACGGCCTGCGACCTCCTGGTGAGTCCTGCGCGGGGAGCCAGGGGCCAGCACGGGGCCCGGGCCGGCCGGCGCCTCGTCAGGCCCCGTAGCTGTGGCGCGGCAGCCTTGTCAGGCTGGCGAGCGAGCCTGCACCCCGGGACCGAGGGAGGAAGACCCGGAGCTGTTTAAGGGAAGGCTGTCAACCAGAGCATGGACGCTTCAGTGGAAGCCCCGCCTCTTAACGCTTCCCGCTGTAGAGGTTCTTGTCCCGCATCGTGCTTGGGTTTCCTTGAGAAGGACATATCTATTTATATATATCCACTCAGATTGGGCCGCCTGCCTCCCCTAGCTCCTTTGTGATGGTACTGAATACATTTCACTGTCGCTACTGCGCTAGGTCCCCTCCTAAGGTCTGCGATTCAAAAGTGATCACCGTCGCTGGGGATTCATTTTCCGAGGTGGATGATTGAGCACTGTTCACGTTTTTAACCTTTCAAGACTGTTGTTCATCAGACTCATACTTAGCTGCAATAAAATGCTTTCCAGTAATTGGCCCCAGTCAAGCAACTGCGTGTTTCTGCCTCTAAATGAATTCAGTTTGGGAGCATTATGTCACCAGCTAGAACCACAGGAGCACTGCTTTTTCCTCTGTTCTGAAAAACGCATGTCTCTTCCAGATGAAGGTGTAGAATTGGAGTTATTTTCCTCTGTTTTTCTGACTGTTGGCTTCTTGTAGGGTTTCTGTTTCCTTTGAAATGGAACTCCACTTTGTAGTGCTGGCTGGCTTGGAACTCATTGTGTAGACCAGGGTGGCCTGGAACTCAGAGATTCACATGGCTTTGCTTCTCAGTGCCCGGGATTAAAGCTGTTTTCCACCCTTGCTTTAAGATTTATTCAAAATTGTTTTTAGTTATGTGTTTTGGGGAGGGAAGGTCATATGTGTGTGGGTGCCTGCAAAAACCAAAAGAAGTTAGATCCCTTGTATGTTGAGTTACAGGTAGTTGTGGGCCTCCTGGCAGTGGATTCTAAGAACTCAGGTATGCCAGAAGAGCAGCAAATACTCTTAACCACTGAGCCATGTCTCCAGACACTTGTTTGTTTGTTTGTTTGTTTTTCGAGGCAGGGTTTCTCTGTGGCTTTGGAGGCTGTCCTGGAACTAGCTCTTGTAGACCAGGCTGGTCTCCAACTCACAGAGATCCGCCTGCCTCTGCCTCCCGAGCGCTGGGATTAAGGGCGTGCGCCACCAACGCCCGGCCAGACACTGCTTTTCTAGACTATTATAAAATTGTCAACTTTTTTCTTTCTTGGTCTCTAACGTCAACCCAGCCCCCCCCCTTTAAAGAAGTGGTAGTGGTCAGAATAATACTACCTTCAATTGTTCGTATTTCCCTTTCTCATATTCTATTAGGAAAGGCAGTATTTCTTTTTCCCCCCTCCTGACTCTTGTGGTGGTTAAAGTATCATTAAGTGAGCTAGGTTTCCCTTGGTTTCCATGGTTTATTCTGTTTTCACTGACGCTGACTAGGAATATCCAGGAGACCACTTGCTAATGCGAAGGGTTGGCAGACCTTTCTCAAGTAGTCAGTGTCCTTCCAAAACCACTTTTTCTGTCCTGGAGTGATCTGTGGTTATGTGGACTCTGTGGTGGGATACTCCAGGTCAGGAGAAAGAAGCAGAGTTGAAAAGCAAGTCTTTACTGTGGTGGGAGAAGGGAAGTTCCTTTGGCCATTTGTTGCTCCCAGGTGATGTTGTCTTCAGTGACTTTAGTCCTTTGTTAATTGATTTCATTTCTCTGCTTACAATTTTCTGCTCTCCCATCATCCATAAAGTTCATTCCATCTAAAGCAGTTTTGTTCTTTTACCTGAATACCATGCCATTTAGTTACTGAGATGCTAACACTATTCCCAGTGGTGTTTCAGTGTTGATGTTGTCTCCCAGCATAATATGTCATGATTGTTCCATTAGTCTGGGAATTAGAATCAGGAGCCCTTTGTCGTCTCTGTGGTTAGCACAATGTGCTGAATCTTCTGAGTCAAGTTATTGTTTGGATTACTGGATAACTCATGTAAATAATAAAAGAAATAAAATTGTGAACGATTCTTTTTAACTGATTGTGGGTAGTGCCCTCACACACGTGGAAGAAGCTATGGATGAGGAATCACTGAGTAATTTCCTAAAGATTACATCATTTATATTATGCATAGCAAATATATATTAAAAGGGATTCATATATATATATTTATATATATTTAATTTATATATTTAATGGTACATGTGTTTTGCTTTTAAAGATTCATTTGAATTGCTTACTGTTTGTACATCGATTGGCAGAAGAATCCAGGACAAATGCTTGTGAAAATAAATCTGAAGTTATCAAAAAGGATCATGTAATGGCTGCATCAAAGGTAAAACATAAATTCTCTTTTTAAGCAAGTTAACTTTAAAAATATACCATGGCTATTATCTTTGTCTGATTCAAATACTTTTTAAAGATTTTTATTTTGAAATACCTATAGCCTAACTTAGTGTAAGAAGAGGTGAACCATAGTTAAAGTTAGGAAAGATTATGAGAAATGTACCAGTAAGGAAGAGTGTTGAATTTTGTTTAACGGCATTTGGGAAAAATACACAACATGTTCAACATTTTGTAAACTTGTTAAGCACAAGATTTTATAGTACCCATATTAATATCACTTTGCACAGAGCAGTGCTAGCCTGGGTTACAGACCAACTTGTGATAACCAAGGCATGTCTATGCCCCAGCAAGTACTATGGGACTATTAAAAGTCTGGAAGCAATGCAATGACTAAGAGCATGAAAAGTATATGTGAGTGTTTTAAATCTAGACCTTTGTTTTTTCTAATTTTTTATTGCCTTTATTATGTGTCCATGTGTGTGTATATAATGTCTGTGTGTATTTGTGTGTGTGTACATGTATACATGTGTGCACTTGTCCCATGGAGGTCAGGGAAACTTTTGGCAGTTGGTCTCTCCACCATGTGGGGTCAAACTCAGGTTTGACTTAGCACTTAGTGACTACACAACCCAAGCCTGAGGCCATTTTTCTTATTAAACTATAGTTGCTACATTCTTGTAAAGTTTTATTTTTATTTGTTTCCTGGAGATAATTTAGGCCTCATCCTCCTAGCATTTTTACAGCTAAATATTTCCCATTGTCTCATTTCTGCAATATTTTATGTTTTGAAAATTATATATGAAACAACTTATTCAGTGGACATGACTAATCTTGACCTCTAGCTGATACAATTCCAGCTTAATTGTGAAACTTTTACATTACAATGGATTTATACTACTTGATACTGCTTTATGGGTTTTATTTTGTTCTTTTAGAAGATTGTTTTAACACCCTAGATCATTAATTTGTTTTTTGGGGGGGACCCAAAACCCAAAGCCTATTTTGAAATCAACAGTTTTGAAACTTTGATTGTAATCGGCAAGGGTAGTGAATGAGATTGACTCTAAAACCAGATCTGATAATGTAGAGCTGGGTTCGTCTTCACTGAGAGTTGTAACCTAGAACTGTAGGCCACTTACACTGCAGGGCAGTTATTATGATTTATTTTCCATAGGTATAATATGTATCCGAATTTCCTCTCTTACAGGTAATTCTGAAGAAGAGCAGAGGTTAGAAGTCAACACTTGTTTAAGAATTATATGATGTATTAATTTAAGTGGCAACAGGTCATTAAGGCATTTTTGTGTGAATCAGTTTATATTGTGGATTATTAAAACACTGACTATATGAGCAATGTGTGCATTTTACTTTTTTAGGAATTATGCTTTATTCATTTTAAATGGTTTCTCAGTTTTCTTCTCTTTCTGCTATTTTGCTTAGTATATAAAAAAAGTGAAATCATACTCTATTGAATAGCTTGAAGAGATATACCCCTTAGACTTAAGCTTATGTCTTTGGATTTAAGCCAGAATTTTGCAGCGAATTTAATTTCTGAGAGAAAGCAGTATACATTAAAATCTAGGCACATTTTAAATATGTTAATAATTGACACATTCTGAAAGCATTTCTTTCTAATTTTGTTTTGTACTAATAGTGACAGTAAACTTTCTCAACTAGAAGATTGTATTAGCCAGTTTTTATAAACTTGTTTCCCTCTATAAACGACAAACAAGTTCTGAAGCTACCTACTTTTTTCAAATCATGGGATTTAGTAGATAAAACATTTCCCCACAGCAGTCTTTTAGAAGCTTATTGTATATTATTCAATATTTACTTCTAAAATTTTATTCTGAGATAATTACGATTGTGTATGAAGTTGAGGAGCTAATGGAAACATACAGTCTACACCAGTTTCTGCAGTGATTGTATTTAACATATGATGTAATATATCAAAACCAGGAATTTGGTAATTGCTATAGTATATATGTAGCTCCATGTTATTTTATCATGTGTGCAGATTCATGTGATTGCTATAGCCAGTATATAGAATTCCTTCAGTACCACAAAGGTCTTCTTGATTTTGTCTCATACTTCTCCAGCTACCGTGTGCTCTGCCAGACTACCACCCTAACCAACTCTTCTCAGCTCTGTAGTTTTGTCACTGAGAATGTTCTATAAATGGGAGCATGTAAAGAAGTAACCTTTGAAGGTTTTTTGTTGTTTTGTTTTGTTTTTCACTCAGTGTAATATCCTGAGTCATTGTGTTTACTGCTGAGTGATCTGGATGCACCATACTTTGTATAGCTGTTTGCTTATTGAAGAATATTTTGATATGTCTAATTTGGGAATTATTATAAATAAAATTTTATGAATAGTTATAAACATTTTAAAATGTGTATGAGTTTTCATTTTTTTCTGGAAAAAAATACCTACAAGTTTGATTGATGGGTCATATGTTAAGTATATGTTTGACTTAAAAAAAAAAAACCAAATAAACTAAATAAATGTTAGGGTGATCATACTATCTTACATTTTCACTAATAGTGTATGAAAGTAATTTTATTTGCATTCTAATGAACATTTGGATTTGTTATTTTATTTTGTAAATTTTTAGCTGCTCTGACAGGCGTGTGTAGTTTTAATTAGCATTGCACACATTGCACAGTGGCTTTTGTCTACATAGGGGCTTCTATTACAAATTGCCATATACTAAGAGGCTTATAAGCAAGTTTATTTCTGTCAGTTCTACTGGTTAGAAGTCTAAGATAAGAGGGCTCAAATGGGTGAGTTCTGGTGAGGTTTATATTATTCAGCTTCAGTTTGCAAAGATTTAGAAAATGGAAATTCTGTGGGATAAAGATTATAATAATTTTGGAAGGATTTAAGATGGCTAATCTACAGATATTTTTAAAAATTGAAAATAAGGAACAGCCAATCTAATAGTGGTGAGTGAGAGAGCTCAGCAGATAAAAACAGATGCCAGACACTGACACAATCCTGAGCCTTGAGTTTAGTACCCAGAAGCCATGGTAGAACGAGACAACCAACTTGCCAAAGTTGTCCTAACCTCTGCTTGCACACCATGGCAGAAATGCATGTACACATGTAATAATAAAATAACAATTAAAAAATATATATAGTCATACAGTACTTTTTTTAGTCATACAGAATTTCAACACAAGCAAACCCAGTTTATTTGCAAATTGGGCTGTATCAGATTTGCCTTATTTACATAAGTATAAGAAAAATGAATTGCCCTATAGGAATCGGAGATGTAGAAGCCTCTTGGGATTACATAGGCAAACCAAGCTAGACTTGTACTCCACCAATGGAGTACTGGCCATGTTAGGACGTGGCAGATTCACTCACAGCACAAAAGTATAGACAGAAAACAAAAATCTTTGTTTCCTAGGCCAGTTACCAAAAGGTAAAGAAAGAAATTTGTCTTTGTGGAAATAGAATTTTAAACCTGGATGTCACCCTAAATGTAAATAAAACAGTAAAAACATATGAGGTGTTTGGTTTTATGTAGCAGTTCACATATATGAAGGAAAAAAAAACGAGTAAATAAAGTTATTCCAGGTTTTTAAGACAAGTATTTTAAACATCTGGGCCCTGTGGAAGAGTGAGAACTGGAGAATAATGTTCTTTAGAGCAGTTGATTAAAAAGAGAGTCACACCAAACAAATGGAATCGAAAACAGGGAAATTTCTAAAGATACACCACTTGACAAGTAAAATCTCTTGTAAATGTCTACTAAAACCAAATATTTCAGGAAAATCTTAATACTCAGAACATGGAGATAGAGTTTTGAGGCAAGGTCCTTTTAAAGGTATCATTATCCACATCATATCACAAAGTTGACAGGGAGTCCATCAAAAAGAACAGACTCGACTTGAGAACAGGCAGAAGTAAATGAAGCCAGGAAAACAGATGGTGCAGAAGGCTCTTTGTGGTAATATAGTCTAGAAGTTGCCAATTGTCTTTAAAGAACTTATTTCAGGTTCTACTAGATACCACATGTGTCAGCCAGTGAGAAATCCCTTAAATATTGTTTACATGGGATTAACGTAGTATTACAACAGGAAAATGCACATCACAGTCAATTACACTACTATTTCAAGGTAAGTGAAGTTTCCAGAGATAAGGTGGTTTAATATGACATTTTGAAACAAGACTTCTGTGTATGAAATGTAATCCCAAGAGTGGCGTATAAAGAGGTTTAATAGACAGTGGTGTGCAGATACTCTTTTAGAAGTTTTACTTATTTTCTGTTTTTATAAATTACTCTGACAGTCTTCTGTGAGTGGCTCTTGCTATCAGGAATATATAGATGTGATACCTTCATGACTTCTCAGTTTTATTTAGGGCTTGACAAAAGGATTGTACGTACATCCTGACAATTTCCACATGGGTTAATACACCTGTTGTCTTAAGTTGTCTTCTAGCTTTGTTTTATATTCATTTATTACTTTGATGAATAAAATTCAAATTTTCTAAGGCAAGAGGCTCTCATTGAATCCTCAAAGGCATTGTGTAGTTTTTTATTTAATTCTGAAACAACTGGATTTTAAATTTAGGGACTTTTAGAGGACGCAGCAATTACTCCAGGTACACATGGGCAGTAATATATATCCATGGCCTTCCTGAACATGGAGAGTAGTAGATTTTTTGAGAAGTGAACACAAAGAATAACAGATATACTAAACCCCTAACATTGAGTTAGTTAATCTTGATGTAATCTTGAGCCAAGATTTGTCTTTATTTTGTATGTATTATTTGTATGAGTGCTAAAGCCAAGTGACTGTTTTACTGAGAAGCATCTCTAACATTTATTCCTTTTCCCCTATGTCTTCTCCGCTTCTAATTTTTCCTCCTTTGATCTTGTAGTTTTGTTGTTATTGTTGTTATGGCCTCATGGACACTCACCAACCCTGCTGCCACTAACCAATAGTCTCAACTCGCCTGTAATTTTCTATTCTATTAAAACTGGTTTTTCATAGCTAATAATAAAACTGGAACCACTCTTAATATTTGAAGCTGTATATAGTAAGACAAACTGCTGGAAGGAAAATTGTATCAAAGATACATCTTTGTAAAGTTGGAGTAGCTTTGGCTTGTATGCTTAATTTAACTTAAAAACATTTCTAGTTAATGTAAAAATATGCAATGGAAGGAAAAATGGCTAGTCCTGTTAAGTTTCAGCATGCCTATTCTGTTAGAGTCACAGCCACCAATGTCTCTTTAGTGAATAGCAGCACTGACTACCGATAGTATGCTGCCAATTGGAAAGAATCTGAGATTTGTAGGCTGAGGCCATGATAGCTTATAGACTGTTTTAGGAAAGTCATTTGTCTCAGATGGGAGGGTTTTGCTCAGCTGGCTGCCTGTACTGGTAAAGAAGAACCAACCAGAGGCTGGGGCAGGTACTGTAATTGGCCTGCAGTGGGAAAATTTTTCTTAATTGAATTAGTTCTATTTAAAAATTAAATTACACATACAAACTTAATTTCTGGCTTCATTTAAAAAGTTGGACAGTATGGCAATAATCAGTTGGGCCTAAGTAGTAGTACCTTGTTTCAAATAATCTTTTATTTATTTCACCTGGGGCTGTTTTACTTACATTAATATCAGCATTTTTGTTTGTAAGTAGTTGAGTGAGTCCATCATCTATTTGAAAACCTGGATTTCTCTTGATAGATCCATGCAGTTTTACTGACATGTCATATTCCTGACTGAATGATGCTCTTTCTCAGCATAGTTTCCACAACTCTCTCATATTCCTGTTAGCAACGATATCCCATTGGTGTCAAAGCTTACTACCATGCGGTCACAAAGGAGCAGTCATGTCCTCATGAATCTTGTCCCAGGCAGTAAAATATGAAAAAATGTTTGAACTTACCCACCCAACGATATTTTTCATTATCCTCAGCTCTCCAATCTGAAAACAGAACTCAAATTTAAGACTACCTGTGCATGCTAGGTAAAACTAATGTCCAATTTAAAACTTTCTAAGAGTTTTTTTTTTTGAATTCTGATTTTAGTATGCAGACAGTAATTTGGCATAGGATTTGGCTCTTTATATATTCAGTGCCAAAGTGGACTGTCTTAAATTGTGCTTTTCTCTTCAATAACTTTTTCCTTCACAATTGCTGTTCCAAGAGTCTTAGTAACATATAGTTATTTTTCTTGCACTGCTTTTTAACAAGTTAGAAAGGCATGGTATAACTGCACTCTAAAATTATCACAAGTGGGATCTGGTACTAACATTGAAGTCCTGAAGTCTGGACAGACACACTATGATGCTGTTGTTAGTGGGAGCTTTTGGTGACATATTTGAAGAGATGAGTGACAGGCACCTGCTCTGTCTTGCTGGATAATCAGGCTTGGGAGAGCACAGGTTTGTGGAAGTTGAGCTCATACATATCAGCATTGAGCTGAAATCTAACAGTGAGTTTGCATGGTTTTTGTGAACAGATGAATGACATTATGATGGTAATGTACTATGTGGAAACTCTACAGTGAGTTTTAACAAGACAAATCTTTACGACCCTTTTTTTTTTGCGAATCCAAATCACCAAATGAACTCCAATTACTTAATGAAGAAATAATACCACCCATTCTTTTTGAACCTTTGTGGATTTCTTGACTCATGAATAATAACTCAATGTGAAGAAATCTAATGAAGCAGAGTGATTTTAATTTTGAAATTTCTTCACTACCTATACTGGCTGCCATCCTCCTCGTGTCCCTGTCAGAATCCCTTTCAGTCTGTTAGCTGTTCATGGCAGCATTTAAGTTTTCTCTTGGGGCAAACTGAAGGTCACTGCCCCATAGTCGTGTAATTTGGCTCTGGGAAAGTGTTCCACATGGTGAATCATGTGACACTGGCTTACAAAATAAAAGAGGAACAGAGTGCCATATTCTACTATGGGTTTCTTGGTGCTCTTTCTGTGGACCAAGTCACTGTGAGATGAATTTACCCTATGTTTTCAGTTCATCCTGTACACATCTTCAGGTAAGTGTAATAACATTCTATTTTTATAGCTAAAGTCATTCTACTGTGCGTTAGGTAAACAAACTATTTTATAGTTTTAGATTATAGAGCTCGGGGAGAGAGCAAGGATAAAAGAATGCAGTGTATGCCTCCCTAATGGGATATGGACTAGGGGATGTACAAAGGTGAGAACAGCAGAGCTCTTTCACCTAGACATCAACTTATAGAAGGTGCCAAGTTTATCCTGCTGTTTGTCAACAGTAGCTGAGTAGTGCATGCTTTTATGGGATGTGTAGCCCTAATTAACTAAACACTTTATTCAATAGCTTATTTACCAGCATTTTAACTAAAGAAAAGGCTAAGCTAGTCTCTATAGAATTGAGCTCA